AAGCAAGAACTATAAAATAAAAAACTGATAAACTGAACTTCATAAAAATTAAAAAACTTCTGGTCTTTAAAAGATACTGTTAAGAAAAGAAAAAACAAGCTACAGATCAGGGGAAAATATTTGCAAAACATGTATCTGATAAATGACTTATGTGCAGAATATAACAAGAACGTAACCAACGTAATTTTTAAAACAGACACAAGATTTGAGCGAACACTTCACTAAAGAAGATATACAAATGACCGAAAAGCACATGGAAAGATTACCAGTACCATTAGTTATTAAACCAAAAACCAAATCAGTTGCTGTTGAGTCTTTTCCAACTCATGGCAACCTCATGTATGTTGGAGTAGAACTGCACTCCACAGGGTTTTCAATGACTGTGTTCTTTCAAAGTATATTGCCAGGCCTTTCTTCCAAGGCACCTATGGGTAGATTCAAGCCACCAGTCTTTCAGTTGGTAGTTGAATGCTTAACCATTTGTGTCACCCAGGGACTCCTCATAAGTCAGTAGAGAACTACAAATCTAAAAAATCAGGTACCACTACACACTTACTAGAATGGCTAAAATTAAAAAGATGGACCATATCAAGTGTTGACAGGGTTCTGAAGCAACTAGAACTTTTGTTTATTGCTAGTGGGAATGAAAAATGCCCCAGCCATTTGGAAAACAATTTGACAGTTTCTTATAAAGTTAAATATGCTTGCCATATGACCTAATCCTAAGCTGTTTTACCCAATTCCATTCCTAGTTATTTACTCAAGAGATGAAAATGTAGTCCACACGAAAACCTATATGCAAATATTCATAGCAGCTTTATCCATAACAGTCCAAAATCGGAAACAACCCAAATGGCTGTCAACATTCACTATGGCATATCCATAAAATTGACTACTACGCAGTAATAGAAGGCATGAACTACTGATACATGCAACAATATGGATGAATTTCAAAAGCATTATGCTAAGTGAAAGTGTTAGTGAGGACTTGAAGGTAGCCAGGTAGAGGAAGGGGGTTGCCTTTAAAGGGTTGCAGGGAACTGTTTGGGTTGATGGAAATGTTCTGTAACTTGATTGTGGTGGTGTTTACGTGGCTGTATACAATCGTCAAAAATCATGGAACTGTAAACTTAAAAAGGGTGACTATACCTCAATAAACTTGACTTTAAAAACATGCACACAGGAAAGAATTCTCAACCTCCCCTCCTGACTAAAGAAATGCAAAATAAAGTAATGAGATAGTCTTATTTTTTTAAAATTTTTCTTACCTATCAGATAGGCTAGTAAAGTGTTTGATTTACACGTTGTAAGAATGTGGGGAAGGAGTCACTCTCATACTTCCATATAATGGTAAAACCTCTGAGGGGCAATTGAGCAATAGCTTTGAAAGTTTAAATGGTACATACCTTTTGACCTAGTAATCCCACTTTTAGGAGTTTTTTTTTTCTGCAGGTGAGACATGCTATTGTTGTTAGGTGCTGTCAAGTTGATTTTGACTCATAGTGACCCCAAGTGACAGAGTAAAACTGCCCCATAGGGTTTCCTAGGCTGTAATCTTTATAGGAGCAGATTGCCAGGTCTTTCTCCTGCTGAGCTACTAGGTGGGTTCAAACCACCAACCTTTCAGTTAGCAGCTGAACGCTTAACCATTGTGCAACCAAGGCTCCTTGGTAAGGCATGTACAAGGATACAATAGGTAACATTAAATTAATTATGGTATATACATACAGTGAAATACTGTGATGCATATATTTGTGTGCTGATATGGAATAATTTCTAAGATATTATTAAATGAAAATATGTGCTTGTATGTGTGTAGATTGTTAGAGAAAGGATAGACCAAAAAAACTGGCATTAGCAGTTGCCTTTAGGGTAGAAAAAACTTACCTTTTAATATGTATCTATTTGTTTTGTTTGAATCTGTTTTTTTATCATGTGCATATATTGCCTTCTCTGTTAAACAAAAAAATTAAATTTGCCTACATTATCATGTGTTGTTAGAAAGTTTAGGAATATATAGGTGACTTTCCTAGTCATTTCCTTCACAGTGTCGTTCAGTGTATCTGTCAGCTGCACAGTACCAGACTAGGTGAATCTTGGGGCTGATCCAGTGTGACATTTCTCAGATGCCTCCCCTTGTAACCTCTGCCTCCAGTCTCTGTCTCCTGTTTTTCTGAATTTATATGATAGTAGATTGAAGAGGAAATATGCTCATTTTCCTTTACCCTATGGTGCCTTTTTGTATATTAGACTTCTCTGGTTTAGATCATTTTCACTAAGCACTAAAATGGTAGGGTACCGTGGTGGGAAGGAATATACTGAGTTCTAGAGAAAATTGTGAATTATATCTTGGCAACACGTTCACACGCCACCATATTTATTCTGCAAGTGAGGGGAACACCAGGCGTCAGTAGGGAGGTGTGGAAATTGGCAGCAGTTTCTAAAATGAGGTAGTTTGGGAGGCTGTATTCAATTTAGTTTGGATATTAAATGAATTAAAATGGACGTGCTCAAGTTATGAGCCTTGCCTCATCTGTGCTATAAAAAGCCCTTTAGCCGGACTGTAATTTCACTCTTCTCTGTATAATGTTACACAATATTCCTATGGTTACAGAGCCCGAATAAATGGAAGCTAATCATTAGTTTGCTAAATGTGGTTTGTGAAACAGTTCACAACTCCTGGACCTACCAGCTGCGGCTTGTGTAGTGTCTTGTTCACCCTTCTTGGGTAGAAGTTGGTTTGTTCTTCAGAAAAATGTACAGTAACATTTGTCTGGCATCCAGGAGCCATGCAGTGTGGCAGCTCTCCATGCATCTTGGAGGTGGGGAGGGAAAAGGTCATGCTCAGCAAAGTTTTTTGGTACATACACTTTTGAAAGAAGAAACCGTTAAATGGATGTGAGATGACAAAGAAAGGAAAGAATTAAAGCTGAAGAGGTTTGGGATATTAGGGAAACCACATTTTGTGCATTTTTAGAAATTTGCTGTGGTAGAACCCTATGGACTTTACTATTCTGTGGCCCTAGAAATAAAACCATGCTCCTTAGGTTCTTCCTTATTTGTTTGTTTCATGTGACAAGAAAGAATTTATTGCCCAGGATTGCCTGCAAACATATAGCTGTTCTGCCTTTAGGAGCCAAACACTGTGTGAGCTGAGGCCCTTTCCTCTCTAGTCCCCTTATGTGTGTCAGGGGGACACACTGAGAGCAGATTTGTGATCTTACCTGGGGATTATAGGGTAAATCCTAAGGCACTCATGAGTATCTGGCCTTCTATGGAAATAGGTTCTTTCCCATTTTTTCCCAGTAAATAGAAATGTGTTAGCCCACCTGTGACTCATTCCCCTTTTCCAGCTGGAATGCTGTTGACCCTGCAGGAAGAAACTCTTTCTTAGTTGGCTTCTCAGAATTCTTCTTGGAGACTGTCCAGAAAGAGAGTCCAGTGCCTGTCTCTATTTACCTGGTGTATTATTTAGATCTCTCTGGATTGTAAAACAGAAAACCTGGCCTTCACTGGCTTACAGGAATTTGTTGCCTCGTGTAATTGAAAACCTATGGCCAGACACAAGGGCTCCAACCATGTCACAAGCCCCAGTTATGTCTACTTCTGTCTCCCCTGGCTTTGTGTTTTGGTCTCTCGGGCTGTACCTGGTGGGACCTGGCTGTTGCATAACATCCCAGGTGCAAGCCCACAGGAAACAGCAGATGTCTCACCCCCCTGGAAATGTCTTGAAGTTCACTCTGATTGGACTGGCTTTGGTCTTGGTCCATCCTTGAACCAGTCCCTGTGTCCCAAGAGATGCTGTGCTTTGATTGGTCTGTCCTGAATCTCATTTCCCACCCTGGGAGGGTGGAGACTCATCCAAGTACATGGACAAGGAGTAAGAAAAAGGTGGCCTCCCACTGAAAATGAGGGGCTGCGCAGAAAGAAAGGGAATGGGAGCTGGGAGGCAGGATTTAGCCAGTATGAGGAAGCTGGACTCTCCTGTAAATGTACTGAAAGGCGCCACTTCCCTCTTGCCAGTTTGTATGTGACCCAGCCACCTCACCAGGGATGAGATGGGGTTCGGCTGACTAGTGAAGCAGTTTTTACTCTCTGCCTTCGATTCTTGCCTTCCTGTGTGCTGCTCAGGAAGACGAAAATAATTTTCTCTCCTCTTTTTTTAAATACACATTTATTTAAAATACACGTGTGTTTAAAAGTCAAAGCAAGAGGAGACAAAAGAAAAAAAGTGATCAGAAGCTGTTGTAATTATAGTGGTTCTCATTGCATTTCTGTGCTTCAGGCAACTTTGCAAAAATATGAAAGTAATGGAATAAAACCATAGGCAGTTTAGAAAATGTAAAAGCCACAATTCCACGATGCTAACCCAACCACTATTTTAATTTTAGAGTATTTCCTTTTAGCCTTTGTATATACGAGTTTCTTACAGACTTTTATATCTTCATTTTTTTTGCTTGACATTACATGATACTATAGGCATTCTCTATGTTGCTGTAAGTCATTATCACATAAATGGCAACGTAATATTCTATCAGGTACAAATGATTAACTCAGTCATACTATCATTGGACATTTAGTTGCTTCCTTTTTTTATTTTTTTCTACTGTTATGAAGAATCCTGTGTGCTGAACATTTTTTGGGTAGGTAACTTTTCTCCTGCCTTATTTCCTGAGGATAGATCGTGAGAAGTGGGATTACAGGTTCAGAGTATAAACATATTTATGACTTTTGATACATATTGCTGAATTACTTTTCAAAATTGTTGCGTTTCTCTTCACTGCTTCCAGTAGTTTATAAGAGGATCAGTTTGACTGCATCCTTGCCAGCAATAGATATTTGGAATTTTCAACATTTTCCTAATTTAGGTGAAAATATATGTTGTTTTTGTTTCAACTTGCATTTCTTTGGTTAGTAGTAAGATTGAACACTTTTATGTATGCTTTTTTAAATGCATAGCTGTATTCTCTGCTGTAAGCATTGTCTTTTCTTTATTTTAGACCCCAAAACAGCTTCCGAAACAGAAACGGATATCTGTGCTGAATGGGAGATCAAGACTATCACTAGTGCACTGAAGACCTACCTAAGGTAGGGAATTCCCATTTGCAGGGTGGGCCATCAGCTCGTTATCGTCCAGTCAGGAAGAAAGCAGTTTTATTTGCAGCCTCCACAGAGTTGTTGGGTGGATGTTCGAGATGTGGAAACAGCTTCTGTGTGGGTGCAATTAGCTTAGCTGATAAAACCGATTGTAAATGTCCATAGTAAATGTCCATGCCATTGTGCAGTGGTGCCATGAGTGATTTAGGTAGCTTTACTCCTTATAAGAAGCTACTGTGATAATTAGCCTTGAATAAAGGAGCCCTGGTGGCACAGTGGTTAAGAACTTGGCTGCTAACCAAAAGTCAGCAGTTCAAATCCACCAGCTGCTTCTTGGAAACCGTATAGGGCGGTTCTACTCTGTCCTATAGGATGGCTGTGAGTCAGAATCAACATGACGGCAGTGGGTTTGATTTTTGGCTTTTTGAATCGAAAATGTGATCTTCCTTGAAATCCCTGAATACTCTATTAAGAAACCAAGGAATCGTGTATTACATTCTATAGAAAATGCATGATGGCATACCACATGTATTTCAATAATTTTGTGCATTGCACAGAGTATATTGCTGATATTGGTCCCTAAAAATTAGAACTTAATGGAACTTCTTTATGACTCCTTCTGCTGAGACTGGAAAATATTACTTTAGTGGAGAGAAGACTATTTTTCTTTGTAATAATATATATGATTTACTGCTTCGTCTCCACTCCTTCCCTGACTATTGGGGGTGGTGATTGACTAGCTGTCTGCAAGGAGTCAGCTAGATTCATGAATAGATTGAAATTTCTGCTGGGCTCAAAGGATAGGAATACTGTAGTTCTTCACTATAATTCTTCTTATACAAGAAGGTGGCGTCTAGTCTTTAACAGAGAGGAGAACTGTAATCCTGAATTGTGTAAGCATTTGTAGAGGCTTATGAAGATTTGCTTGGCTGGAAAGCAAAGGTAGAAGGCCACAGAAAAGGAATTGATGATGCAGGTTTTATTGATTATTGGGGAATTGATTGGAGGATCTTGAAGTCAAAAGTAAGATGTAGTACAAGTTATGACTAAGTGTTGAATTAGGAGATCCAATGAGAATAAAATAAAATCTGTGCAGAAGCTTATTTGGACTATTAGAAAAAACTCAAGTTTACGGTTAAGCATATTAACACCCAGCAGGTATACATTTGCTTGTGGCATGGCTAATATTAGAGGTTGTAGCCCTTTGGCATTCAGGAGCAACACCTCGTAGTGAGTTCACCACAAAAACACGTACAAAATTCTCTCAGAGTGTTCCCAGATGAACTGATTCACATAACAAGCTGCTGGGAAGATGAGCATTTAGGTACAGGTCATTGCAAATTATTAGTTGTCTGTTTCTTAGACACATCATAAAATGTTCTTGTGGATGGGTGAGTCACTCACTGAAAAAAAAATCCCTTGGTTTGTGCTAGACTTTTACATTAGCACTTTTCTACTTGTAACTGTGAAATATGGTTGTACTCATTCCCTTATAAAAAAAAAGAGAGATAGAGTAAAAATTTCAGGTGAAAGGGCCCTTTCAATCGGGAAATGAAGTTGAACTAAGTTGAGTTGCTATCATTTCTCTGTGATCTTTGTTCTTGAGAAATGTGCTAGAGTTTGGCAGTCTATAGGCTGCTGTTTAGAGATAAAATGATTATTATTTTATTATTAAACTGACTAGTCTATATCCTTTTATTCCAGAATGCTTCCAGGACCACTCATGATGTACCAGTTTCAAAGAAGTTTCATCAAAGCAGCAAGTGAGTTTTTTTTTTGGTCACAATTTTAAGGGGAAGAGAATAGATTTTTCTATTTCAAAGAAGAGTCAGTATCCCAAAATAAATATTATCTAATGCTTCATATGCTGCATATAAACTGCCCACATACAAGCTCATGAGACTGTAACCCAGAAACCAAACCAGGATTACTAAGGGCCTTACCACCACATTGAATTTACAGTAAAGGAAAAAAATTTCAGATGTGTGTTTTTTTTTTTTTTTTTTAGGGTGGCAAGGAAAAAAAGGAAGTTTACCTTTCTAGTTTTTTTATTGGAGTTCTGACTCCTTGGTTTTTTTCAGCCCTTCAGCAGCATTTTGCAGACTGAATCAGATGTTGCACATTACATAAATTGAGCATTTGAAGTGTTTCCCTGAATATGACACCATTATGTAACTTCACAGTCCTCTTTCCATTATGTCTTCCATTTGCAGCTTCTGATCATTCTTCAGCTATATCATCCAGGTTCCTAGCGTCATTGCTGGTATTAAAATACATAGGGATTAGGTGCAAGGCTGCCCTAAGTATATTGGAATCTGTCTATGTGGGGCAGGCCTCCTATAAGGGGGCAGTAAGATTCTGTATTAGATTTAAATCTGGCTTGAATCCTCACAGTGCTATTATGTCAATAGCCTTTGCCTCTGCCTGATTCCTTTAAACCTTTGGAATTTGTTTACCCTGGTAGCTACTACTGGCCTAATTTAGTACCTAATGTTCTGGTGGCCTTATCTTAATAGTTATCCCCTTAAAACAGGGAGGAGAAAGACATGGGAGAAAACTAGGAGTGAAGATGGTGTTTATGTGATTACTCTCTCAGAGAAATTCCCAGCCCATGGCAACCATTCTCTAATTAAACCTCACATCAGTCCTATAAATAGGTGTGGTGAGTACTATCAGTCTATTTCCCAGAGAAACAAAACCACTTACCCAAGTTCAGCCAAGAGAACATGACAGGCCATGATTTAGGTTACAGGTTGAAAGATTTAAAAATTTTATCTGCCATTGCTTTCTTTCCACCAGGCTGGTTGTCACTCATGACTTGAGAATTACTAAACATTTCCTTTGATTTCTATGGTGCTGTCTCGAGGTCTTATTTTTGATATCTGAGCCTCTTGCCATGTTGTTAATGTCCGCTTTGTTTACCACTTTATGAGCGCATAAGGTTCCTTCTTTCCTTGAAATGAAGTCATCGCTTGAGAGCCAGCTGCTCCTCGGTTCGCTCTGACCCTGGGTGTGCGGTTGGCTGGCTTCATTGCATCATGCCATCATTTTGGCTTGAATTTATTGACGGTCACTTTTTTTTTCTGATTTTTTTTTTTTTAATTGTACTTCAGGTGAAGGCTTACAGAACAAATAGTTTCTCATGAAACTAGTACACATATTGTTTTATGACATTGGTTAACAACCCCACAACCTGTCAACCCTCTAACTTCTCAATCTTTTTTTTTTTGGTGAAAATACACATAGCCAAAGATACACCGTTTCAAAAATTTCTACATGCATACTTCAGTGACAATGACTATGCTCTTCCAATTGTGCCATTATTCTCACTTAAGATGAAGGCTTACAGAACAAAATAGTTTCTCGTTTAACAGTAACTATAAATGTTGCCCTATGACAATGGTTAACAATCTCACAACACATCAACAATATCCTTACTCAATCTTGGGTTCCCTATCACCAGCTTCCTTGTCCCCTTCTGCCTTCTGGCCCTTGTCGCTGGACTCCTGTACCTCGTTAGTCTCATTTGGTTTTATGGGGCTGTCCACTCCCAGGCTGAACAGTGAACCTCAGAGATAACTTCACCACTGAGCTAAAAGGGTGTCTGGGGGCCATACTCTCGAGGTTTCTCCAGTCTCCTTTAGGCCAGTAAATCTGGTCTTTTTTTTGTGGGTTAGGATTATGCTCTACATCTTTCTCCAGCTCTGTCCAGAACCCTCTGTTGTGATCCTGGTCAGAGCAGTCAGTGGTGGTAGCCGGGCACCATCTAGCTGTACTGGACTCAGTCCGGTGGAGGCCCTGGTAGTTGTGGACAATTAGTCCTTCGGACTAATCTTTTCCTTGTATCCTGTTCTCTTCATTCTCCCTTGCTCCCGAAGACATGAGACCAGTGGAGTATCTTAGATGGCTGCTCACAGGCTTTTAAGTGATGGTCACTTTTTTGATGAACCCTGTTACAGAAAACACCATTAAACAGACTTCTGAACCTAGTCATGCAGTATACAGGACAGAATCGTAAATCTTTGAGAAATCCTCAGTCTGTTAGTGCCCAGCCCTAGTTTTCCTTGATTTTATCTTCTAAACTAATTTAGCTGTGACACTGGTAAAATATTACCTCCCTCCTTCCTTTGCAGAGCTGGAGAATCAGGAGACTCGGGTCTCTGAAATCCACAGCCTTGTTCATCGACTCCCAGAGAAAAATCGGCAGATGTTACAGCTTCTCATGAACCACTTGGCCAAGTAGGTTTAAGACTGGTTGCTGGCCCTCTTCTCTCCCCTAGAAAGTTCTTATCTTAGCAGTAAAGCTGGTCTCAGTTCTGTTTATGTTTCCCCCTCCCACTACGGAATTGCATCAGGTATGCTGGAGGCTTAAGAAAGAAATGTGTGAAATGTTAACTGCCATGGGTAACAGCAGCTAATGCCAGATGATCTTCGCAGAGGAGGCTGGGGAAGTGCCCATGCCATCAGGCCACCAGGCAGAGTTTTCATGGCATCTTTGCTCTTGTGATGATCAAAGGGAAAGGAGAGTGTGTTGTCTATGATGCCAGGCCGCCAAGCAGAATTTTCAGGGGTTATATTTTTCTTGTGATCAAGGATTAACTGGTGTATGTCATGGCTTTGGACCTGGGATTTGGAGTAAGATGATGTTGGTTCTAGAGTTGATTCTGTTCTTAACAAACTAATCAGCCCTGGACAAGCTACTAACCTGTCTATTCCTTATTTTCTTCATCTGTCAGATATGGCTTCGCTTTATCCACAAGATCATTGATAAACAAGTTACCTGTATTAAAGCCTTTTAAGAAGTATAGAGGATAAAGAAATTATATTTGGATAAATGCCTACTTGCACTATGAGAGAATCAAAGCATTCAATGGGGGCCTGGTTTTCCTGCTAGGGGTATTTACACTCTTGGAATGGTTTTGCATTTCTGTGTGTTTACTGTTGCTTGACCTTTTAGGAAAGGCTTTGCTGACTTCCCTTGGTGTATCAGTCACTACAGTGTTTGTTTATATTCTATCTTTACATTGACTTTGGTAGAATGTTCTTGATTGGAGATGGGGGTTTTGGTGAGAAGCAACTGGGCATAGGTCAGGGATTGCTCCTTTATTGGTCAAATGTGTTTTCTTGCCATGCCCTTAGCAGAACTGCATGTTCAGAAAAAATTAAGCAACATAGCAGAAAACATGCAAGTTTGCAGGGAGAATGCCCCAAAAATGTCAAAGAATCCTGATGAAGTCTGTTTAAAATAATGGGAACTAGGCTTTAAAAGTTACTCCAGATGCTCTGAGATGATAGTTTGGTGCCTATTCCGTGCAACCCAGAGTTAGGCATTTGTCAAAGGGAAAAGCTGGTTTAAATCTTAGTTGCAAAATTCTAGCACACTTTGAAGGGCATTCACCAAAACAGAGGAAATTCCAGGTACACACTTCAGCCAAGTATGTGTGTGAACACTTGTGACTGCTTTATGGCCACTGGGTCTTCAGGCGGCCTCCAAGCCTGCTGGGAGCAGCTGGAGGAGAAGGCTTAGGGACCAGCTGCAAGCAGTGGGTCTTTTCAAGCTGTACAATCAGAATGAGAGCTTTATTGAACTGAGACCAAGAGTAAGCGGTGATCCAGCAAAGGGCATGGGGCCAATATTGAATGTTTCCCATTTTTAAATTGCCCTGAGGATTGTGAGGAATCTTAAAGAAGAAGAAGGGAAAAAAATTAAAAAAAGAATTAAGAAGGAAAAAACACAAAAACCTTAAAGTAGATCTTGAACAATGAACCCTGCTCACTGGTGGGTGGTTGACTCTCTCCCTCTTTTTTCACCCTATGGCCTCTCCATCCTTTTTCATAACCCAAGGAGTAATGCAACTGGAATATGCAGGTTACACCTGTGACCTAGGCTTTTTGCCTTGTAACCAATTTAAACCAATTTTGTTGCTGGAGTTATTTATTGCATAGCATTTCTCAAGCATTCTCTCTTCCATTTGATACTTGGCAATGATTTCTGTTGTTTTTGTGGTATTTCATTTACCCATGGAGAAATCTAGGTATAGACAAGCTCTCATAGCTATAATGTGAGTTGGTCAGAGCTGGTGTGAGAACACACAGACTCAGGTTCTCAGTATGCCAAATTCTTGGTCTCTAGAGCCTCTAGATTGAAACATGGCTGGGAGGAGATGGGTATAAATGAGCACCGCTGGATCCAGTAAGGAGTATTTATTCAGGCCTGAAAAAATTCTTTGGTACCCAGAGGAGTTCTGAAATTCCACTAAAACTCTATATTCTCATTTAGAGCACTGTCCTTATTTTGAAATCAAGCAGTAAGAGAAAGTTAACTTGTGACAAGGAGTTTGTATAATTCCAGTTTTCTCAGGTTCAGGATAGCTCAGGATACGCCTGAGCTATTGTTCCTCTGGTCCACTTACTTAATGGTCAGCTTCCTTCCGAAGTTTTGGTTTCAGGGCTGGTTCTGCTGGAAACCCCAGTGTTTACCTCTTTCATTACCTGCTGTGTTTACCCTGTGCATCTCAGACTACTGGTTCAAAGGCAAGACATTTTGTATTGTGTGTTTTTAAAAGCACTCTTTTGAAATATTTTCAAAATATTTAGCTGTGAAGGGAGAGTTAAGGCATTTTATATTTAATTCCCAGTAGAAATGCATTCAGAGGAAAAAAAAAAAGCCTCAAGGGGAATGGATAAAAACCCAAAAGCTCCAAAGCAAGTGATTACCAGGGTGCATCCAAATCATAGAGCACTTGGGTTTGTTTGAGACCTCAGAGGGAACATAAAAAGTATAGGCAACCATACACATATTTTTGTTGCTCCTGCTTAAATCTACTATGATAATTAGATGTTATCTGTTCAGATGTTGGAATCTAGTATACAGTCTAGAGCCATGTGCCTCAAAGCCTGGTTAGAGTGCCACCAGTGTCAGAATTGCCTGAGATGTTTGTTTGCATTGCCATTCCTGGGCCCCACCTCGGTCTACTAAATCAGACTCTTTGCCTGGGAATCTGTATTTCTAATTTATTTCCCAGGTAACTATTATGCAGGTGAGTCTCTTGAAAACCACTGGCCGAGAGAATGGGCCATATGTAGGGTTTTCTAGGAGAGAGAAAATGAGAGGAATGTGCTGGGATCTAGGACGGCATTAGAAGTAGAAGAAACTCAAGGTAGTGAGTTCAGAGAGGAGATTTTATTATCATAATTAAACTATTAAAAAAAAATCCAATTGCGATTTTCCAAATCTTTGCAATTCAAGTTTGCATTAAATTGAGTTTTCAGCAAATGTTTTGTTTAAAATCATGCATAAAGAATTCTTCATAATAAAGAAAATCAGCCCCAGCAAGCTGTGGGACCTTGTGCAAATCATTCAACCTCTTTGAGCCTCTCTTTTCTGAGCTTCCCTTCAACTTTGTGATTCTGTGTTTTTATCAGGTAGAAGGGGGAAGGGGAGGAAAAAATCCCCAATCTTATAAATGTAAAAGAAAATAAGAGTAGATGAGTAATAAAGACTAATTTCTTGGTAGTTCCCTAATGTTTGCATATTGTGATGACTCCAAGTATGTTGTATATCCCCCCACACACTATACCATTCGTAGTGGCTCATCGTAATTTTATTGCAATGTTTATGCTGTGCAGGAGGATTTGAAAGGGCTGTCTGCACATCAGGAGCAGATACTTAAAGTACCTTTTCAAAGCCGGTTTTCCCAGAACAATAATCGAGAAATAAATCTTAGTTTCCTTTTTTGGAGTGACTATTCCTTTGTTATTAGGGTGTTGTCAGAGAGGGAGAGCCCTGTCTTGCCTCTCCAAAGAGGTATTGTATCATTTAGGATGGTTTGGGCTGCAAGAAAAAGAAAATCTAATGCAAAATGGTTTAAACAATAAGGGAGTCATTGTCTCGTTACACACAATCAGCCCTGAGGGTTGGTTAATTCCTCGGCTTATGAAGGACTCGGGTTATTTCCCTGTCCCTGCTCAGCTGGCCTCATTACATTGTCTAGCTCCTTGCATGGTCATAGATGTTGTGTCACATCCTTGCACATTAGTGGTTTGTACAGAGGCAGAAAAGGCATTGTTTCTTCTCTGAGTCTCTTTTTAAGAGCTATAATGATACTTTTCCCAAAAGCTCTCCAGCAAATCTCCCATCACTTCTGATGGGTCTGAACTGAATCACATGCTTGCCCCTAAAGCAATCACAGGCAAGGAAAATGGGACTGCCATGATTGTTATACACGAAACTGAATTTACCTGAGCCAGCTGGTAGAGGCATGGAAGCCAAAATGAAAGCAGAGCTCTGAGTAGGCAACTCACAGTGCCTACTGCAACTAGTCTTGATAAAATAACATTCAGCAGAGAGCATCAAGTCTCTTAAATGATGTTTGCATGTGTGCCAACTTAATCAAGACATAAGAAACAAAAAGGCCAATTTGGGAGGGGAGATGAGTACATCTGTAATGTGGGCATGTGTACACCAAATTACAAGATTTTAGAGGGCAGAGGGTGGAAGAGAGTATAATGAAGAGAGGAAAATCTCCTTCAGTCACGTGCCTCTTGGATTCCTTGATGTTCTTTTCATTACTCAGTCGCCCAGTGTTTATTTTCATCATCTGTTATATGTTTTGATGTTTCCAAAAAGACCAGATTCTGTAGATTGCAGTGATCATGAAGGAATATTGTGACCCAAATGCTTGGCATACAATGAGACCTTATCAAAATATATAGACAGAATATATTGGCAAAAGTTGTTGAGGGTTGAAGATTCTAGTGGTTTAGCTTTTTTCTCATTCCTCTGACTAGAGTCTGAGTATTTCCAGGCATTCTTCAAATCAGGAAGGATATGTTCATATTTCCTTAATTATCTAGAAGCAGAGTGAATTGGGTTCATATGTAAATGCCTATGATAATGAAAAAAAGAAAAAAGTCATTGCTAGGCCTTGGCACCAGTGAGGGTGGGCCCTGGTGATTAAGTAGCATTCCTTGAAGTTCTTCAGAAAGGGTCAAAATAAAAGGAAATGGGCATTGATACTTGGCATTAACACATGTCTTTTAGCTACTCCAATAATCTGTTTTCCTCCATCCCAAGTTGAGAAGATAAGATTTCGCTTAATGATGAGCTGTTGAACACATGAGAAGAGCTAGTTCTTTTCTCGCCATCGAGACTCATCCAAATGAAATAGCTGTGGAACTTTACAAAGCACATTTAAGAGAACACCATGCTTTTGAGGTGATGTCTTTTCTAAGATGGA